TTTATTTTATATATTCAATTTATGAATCACCTATTGCATACAATGTAAGGCTCTAGGTGATGTACAACTGTTAAAAACAAAATTAAAAGCAAAACCCAGAAATCGGCTACATCATCTCAGATGGCATCAAACATTCCTTTGTTACCCTATTCTGGACTGCATTGCTGTCTCACAGGCAGGTGAGGAGAGGGCCAAAGCGAAGATGGAGGAAAGAAAAAAGAGGAGGATAAATTGAATATATAAAAATAAATATACTGACTAATGATTTTATTAAACAAATAGCCGACCAGCAGCAAGCGGGAGGGAAATGATGGGTGCAAGGAGAAAACACAGGCAAAATCCTCATGCCTTGCCAAGGTTTTGTGAATCACAGAGGCAATGACAGCAAAACATGGAACAATCTCCATATGGGAACAACCTAAATTTGAAGTGTAATGCTTATAATCTAATCCTGGCCCTACTATTGGGATAAACTACAAACTATACAAGGGATCCTAAAAGAAATCCTAAAAGAAATCAACCCTGACTGTTCCCTGGAAGGCCAGATAATGAAACTGAAGCTCAAATACTTTGGCCATCAAATGAGAAGGGAGCACTCCCTGGAGAAGACCCTGATGCTGGGAAAGACTGAAGGTCAAAGAAGACGGGAATGGCAAAGGATAAGATGGATAGACAAGTGTCATAGATGCAACGAACATGAAAGTGAGCCAACTTCAGAGGACGGCGGAAGACAGGAGGGCCCGGCGGGAGCTGGTCCATGGGGTCGCGAAGAGTTGGACTCGACTGTGCGACTGAACAACATACAAGGGAATCCATGACTAATTTCCCAATTTTAGGTGTTTTTTAAAACACCAAATACAGCTCAAGGGCTGCTAATGGGACAGAGGAGGGAGCATGGCACATTTTCCACTTTTCTACAAGAAGATTCCCCAGTCTGAATTGCCTGCTCAAGGTGCTATTTCCTCAATAATGGAAGAGAATGCAGACACACATATGACACCTGCTGTATTCTCCCACATGCAAATGGTGGAGATGGGGTGGTTGGGATTCTGATCAGAAATACAGCTGTGGGGGGACATGTTGCTTCCCCAGTCAAATGAGCAGCTCCTGGCATGACATGGACCTCCTTGGACCTTTAAAGAAGGCTTTTGATTTGGCACAGAGAAGCAGTAGGAGCTGAGACCCTTTCCCTGTGTGCTTCTTTTCCACTGTAGCTTCTCCGCAAGCCATATTTCCCCTTGTAGGATTTCCTTTGTAGGATTTCAAAACATATATTACACAAAATAACCATATAATCACTAGCTCTATCGCTGATCTTATATAACCACCACATTTCCTTTCATCCCTTCTCACTCCAGCAATCCCTGATGAAAATATACAATTTTGCCACAACTCCAAAATAAACACATTTTCCAATCCAAAGTCTATTAGTCATATGCCAATCTATGTTTGACGTACAATTATAACTACAGAATTTTGTTGGTTTGGTCAAAACATTTTCTTCCTACACATCTGATCACTTCACACCCATCGTGAACTGGCCTTCTTCTTGGTGTCCTACTGTATTTGCCAGCAGTCTGAGCTGGTCCTTCAAGATACACAAAACTTGCATTTGTCTTATGGGAAACTGACAGGAAGAAGTGAAAGGAGATACTAGATCCTTTCAGACCTTCTTTAGTCACAGAAACAAAACCAAAATAGAAAGGAGACAAAGGTCCATTTTCCATTCTGTGTCCTTCTTGAAAATATTTTACTCATTGTACAAGCCTCCATTACAAAGATTTTAACAAGTATCCAATTATTTTAAAGGCCTTTGACATTTCTCATATTATTCAAATACATCCTTATCTCAGCATATGCCTAACCTGCAGCCACTGAGCTGACAATATACCTCAGTGTTTTCAGTTTTCAGACTGAACATTGACTGCAATATGAGCAGGGACTATTTCCTGCCAGTGATTGAGGCTTTGCCCTATATCAGTGACAATCTTACAGCACTGTCAAAATAAGCAAGGTAAGAGAGGAAGTATTTATTCCAGCCAAAACTCACTGGCAAAGGACCCGGCTGGCAGTGCTTTTGCCTGACCTGAACCTACTGCCCATCAGCTTCATTGGATGCCCTTGCGTTCTAGTATTTTTGGAGAGGGAGACAAAAAATCTCTTTGTCAGCTCTCTCCACTCCATGCATAATTTTATAATCTCTGTCATGTCCTCCTTTAGTAGTCTTTTTGCTAAACTGAAAAGTCCCAGACTCTTCAGCCTTTCCTCATAGGGAAGGTGCTCCAACCCCCCCCCCATCATCTTGGTTGCCCTCCTCTGCACTTTTTCCAACTCTGCAATGTCCTTTTTGAGATATGGTGTCCAGAACTGTACACAGTATTCCAAATGAGGCTGCACCACGGATATATACAAGGGCATTAAAATATTGGCTGTTCCATTCTCAATCCATTTCCTAATAATCCCTATCATAGAGTTTGCCTTTTTCACTGCAGCACACTGAGTCGACACTTTCATTGAGCTATCCACTATGACCCCAAGCTCTTTTCCCCTCTCAGTCCCTGCAAGTTCAGAACCCATTAACCTATACGTGACGCTGGAATTTTTTGTCCCAATGGTCATTACTTACCAACACTGAATTTCATTTGCCACACTGTTGTCCACTCGCCCAATTTGTGGAGGTCCTCTTGGAGCTCTTCACAGTCATCCTTGGTTTTAACCATCCTGAATAATTTTGTGTCAACTGCAAATGTGGCCACTATATTACTCACCCCTGGTTTTAGATACTTTATGAATAAATTAAATAGTACCGGCCCCAATATCAATCCTTGGGGGCCCCACTGGTCATTTATCTCCATTCTGATAATGTCCATTTATTCCTACTCTTTGCTTCCTGTCATTTAACCAGCTTTAATCCATAAGAGAACACATCCTCTTATCCCATGACTGCTAAGTTTACTCAGGAGTCTTTGGTGAGGCACCTTGTCAAAAGCATTTTTGAAAGTCCAGGTATATAATGTCTACAGGGTCACCATTGTCTACATGCTTGTTCACTTTCTCAAAGAATTCCAAAAGGTTGGTGAGACAGGACTTCCCTCTTCTTAGCATTGGTCTACCCTCCCTAGTCAGTGGTATATCTTCTCACTGAACCTTCATTATAGGTCTAAATAATCTCCAAGAAATCTGAACAGATTTGACTCTCCTGACTCTTCCTGTCAATTTTCTTTTAAGTAAGCTCTTCGTCTTTGAAAACTTGACTCTTCTGAAGTTAAATGTGATGGTGCTGGACTTCCCAGGAAACGTATTGTATGTTGAATTTGATAGCCCTGTGGTTATTGTCTCCTAGTAGGCTCCCAAATAGTTCAGTCACTCTTACCTCACTCTTTACTGGCAAAGAATCTGGACAATGTGTTTGTGGCAATGACAGGCATTAATTTTTTAAACTATTTATCTGTGTGATGTTTTCATGTGGACTTTTGTTTTCTTTTCCTAAAAGGTAATACAGAATATGCTCCCATCTACACCCATTAAAGTTTTAAGTGATAAAACTGCTGACTCACTTGTAAAAAGGGCAGAATGATGCATGCACAGTATTACCGTTCTTTGATCCCTTCCAACAGAAATAGTTTCCAATCAGCACCTTTTCTCTTTCAAGTGTTTTGCGTTCGCAAGAATGAGATTCAACCCTGCAACCTGTTGCAAGAAAAGAATCAGCTTATAAGTAGCATTTGTTGCCTTAAACCAAATTCATTACCATATCAATGTGACTTTGCTATCTTTTAACTCAGCGAAGAAAGGGAGAGGGCACACCATATATAAATGTATAGTAATGAAATAGAAGTAGAATTAAAATCTGTTCTAAATATAATAACCCAAATACAAATGGGTTCTTGATATGAGATATATAATAGACTTTGCACCTTGATATATTACTTATCTATTAAACATTCTAATGAATATACAGAAGTGGCAAAAATATGTTATATTGAATACATATCAATGATGAAAATAATGTTGTAGTCAAAACAGATTAGTTATAAAGTTTGAAACTTAAATTTAAATGTAGAATACAATTGTAACCCAACAGAAATAAGAACTATTGTATTTTATAGATAACTAGGAATAAGGCACATTGTGGAAATAAATACACTGAACTCTAGAAAGAGGCTCTGGGCAGGTGTCCCAGCCTTGGGCACTCAGCATCAATATGCTGTGGTGACCTCAGCAGGGTATAATGACACAGAGTCCACAGTTTTCTCCAGGAGATCTGATCTCTGCCATCTGAAGAGCAGTTGTAATTCTAAGTGATCTCCATCTCTCACCTGGAGATTGGCAACAATGGTTCCCAAAAGAGGAAATGGCTGGTTTGAAGGGTGGAGTCTATGGCACTGTACGTATCTGAGGTCCCACTCCTCTATAAACCCCATCCTCTCCAGGCTCCACCCCTCAAATCTCCAGGAATTCTTCTTTCCCGCCAACCATCAATGTACCATTATCTGCCCCCCTGACTTCAGCTTTCCCTCTCTTCCCCCCTCCCTGCAGTCTCTACCTAGGAAAAGAACAGTCTTTCTCCACAGTGGGAAGCAAAGCAGCTCACATCATTCTCTTCTCCCCCTTTTGATATGTACAATAACCCTGTGAGGTAGGTTAGGCTGAAAGTCTGTGAGTGGTCTGAAATCACCCAATCAGCTTCCACTGGAAGAACCCAAGCAGGAGAGAAGCAACCTCAGCAGGGTATAATGAGTCCACCCTAAAAAGCAGCTGTTTTATCCAGGGGAACTGATCTCTGCCATGCGGAGAGCAGTTTTAATTCTGAGTGCTCTCCAGCCCTCCCCTGGAGATTGGCAGCAATTGTTTCCCAGGAGAAAATAACTGTTTTGGAGGGTGGACCCTATGGCGTTCTATTCAGCTGAGGCCTCTCCCCTCCCCAAACTCTGGCTTCCATAGACTCTATCACAAAATATCCAGGAATTTCCATAGACTCTATCACAAAATATCCAGGAATTTCCCAACCTGAACCTGGAGCTGGCAACCCAGTGAGTTCCCCACAAAGGCCAAAGTAGGCTTGGAAACGGCCTCCTGGCTTTGCCTTTTTACTATGGGAACCAAGCTTGGTTGCCTAGCAACAGCCACTGAAGGGAAAATTAGCCCCACAGCAGGAGGAGAAGAAAATGGTTTGATGGCTGGTGGCCCACCTCAGTAGCCAGCCAGCCACGGAGAAGTCAAGCAAAAGAAACATCTTCATCAGGAGACACAGCCATTTTGGCAGTTTATTCTGACAGGGAAGAGTGGCCAAGCTGGCAGTGGGTGGGCGAGAGGAAGTGGACCCAGCCCCCAGCCAATGGCTGATAGAGCGCAATGGCTGATGGAGTGCACAGCACAGCCAATGGGAGAGGAAAGTGCCAATGCGTCAGGGCTTTTATATATATATCAGATACCTTAAAAATTATAATGAAGAAAATATTTTCTCTTATATATTTTGTACTTCATGATTGTCTTTGACAAACACAACTATGTTGTATAGCCCCTTTTTTCTTTTCCTTTTCTTTTTTGTATCCCCACTGTCTTCTTAAATGAAAAAAAAGAAAAAGGGGGGCAGTACCAACGCAAAATGAAGATGAAGAAACAAACTGGTGCAGAGGGAAATTAATCTTTAATAATTATACAGCCCCTATGCATTTTGTGTGCAGCTTCATAATGGAGAATGGAATTAAAAAGAACCTGAAAGATTCCCCATGATGAAGCTGCACATGAAACACATAGGTATATTTGGCTCTCACAGAAAAATGGGCCACATTATAAATGGAGGCTCCAAAGAGAAATGAGGACTCAAATGTGGAAAAGTCCAATCTGACTGCAGGTACCCCCAAAAGCACAAGGTAAGGCTTGCTTAATAAGACTGCATAAAGAAACCTCTTGGGCTGACCTGGAAATGCCGCACTGCAAATTGTGGAACCAGTAAGAGTGGTATAGAAGCCATTGGCAGCATCTTCAGTGTCTTCAGCAAAGAGTACGTGCCAGTCTGTTGGCTCGCTGGCTAGTGTATGCAGTTCTTCCCATCTAAACATAAATATGACAGAAAAGTAGGTAAAGCACAGAAGCATAGTAATAATATAATGGCACTTAATTTCATAATTAGTAGAGAGTTGGGAGCTATTTAATAGAGCATATCTATAATACACATACAGAACTAAAGCAATGCACACTACAATTTAATATAGGCACTGCTTTCCTGTTAAAAACTGCTTACGATATTGTTTATAACAATATTGCTTCTGATGTTCACTACCGAACACACACATCTTTCTCCGGCTTTTCTTTCTTGCTCAAATGCTTTAAAGTGTCCCCAGCCAGCACTCAGTTCCCAAGTCACAAACACATTACATACACTCTTATCTCCATCGTGGGCAAGCAACCCAAATCTCACCTCCATTGTAAGGTTGTTCTTTAGTCACTAGTTCAGTGGCAATAGCAATGGAACATTTAATATCTCTTCTCACGCTAGAAAATCATTTACCTTGGGAAGTTGATTCCCACTGCAAAGACAACAATCCCTTTTTCTTTTAGCTGCTTCGCTGGTATTGTTACACTGCCTTGAGATTTCCCATCAGTCAGGATAATGAGGATTTGCGGTACTGACAAGTTTCTGCCCCCACAGAATCCTTTGTGAAGAATAAACTTCAGAGCACGACTTGTTTCTGTTCTCCCACCTCTGAGGCACAAACAGGAAAAGGACAGGGAGAGATTTTAAAAGTATTAATATTGCTCTATTTAGTTTCAACAAACATGTCTCCCTTTCCCAGAGATGAACTGAGAAAATAATTCATTTGAGAAGCAAAGAGGTGGTGAAGACTATTACTGAGGAAGCAAGGACCTTTTTTATGCATTTCATATGTGAAAATAAGCATAGTAGCGTACAGGCCAAAAATAAATAAATCAGAAGAAAAAATGAAAAGACAAGACCTTATATGAAATTTGTGTAGGATAAACTATGTTGCATAGTTCAACATTTCTGTTGCTTTCTTCATTTCTGCCCTATTGCTAACAGCTACAGACATATATAATTTCCACACAGAAATATGTCAGAAAAATAAGTAAAGCACAGAAGCATAGCAGTAATTTAACGGCCATATCCAACAAGCCATCACCACCATTAAAGACAAGGGTAAGCAACTTTGTTGCCCTGATAGCCCCCCAAACCTGCAATGTCCCCCTGTGAAGATGTTGGTGTACTGGAAAACAAAGAAGACGAGGGAAGGCAAAGACTGTGCCCTGGAAATCAGTCACGCCTCAGCATCTCTCCTCATACCCTTGAGCAGAGAACTAGCCCAATATGTCAAGCAAAACAGCCAGTGTTCAGCATGCAGGATGGGATTTCTTACTCCTGATTTAGGGCCTAACTACCCATTACACTCAAAGCAAACTACAGGGACTTCTCTCCACTCTGGAAAAGCCAGTCTGTGAACAGGCACTTAAATCTGTCTCCCCTTTCCACACATGAGGTTTCAAATACATGTCCGACAGTGGTTTCTTCCTCACAGTTCCCCTGGTCCTCTTGCTCACTTGCTCCCCCCACCCCCCACTATAATGAACCAGACTCCAGATATAGTACATAGCAGATAGCAGAAAAAGTAGGCAAAAACATTGAGGCATGGAGCTGCAGGGTCTCTTTCTGTTGCTTCATCTTCCAAGCCAACTGGGACATCTTAAAGGCGCAGTGGAAATCTCCTTACTTGTAGCCTAGCAGATTCAGAGGGTGATGGACGGACTATTGGGTTGCACTCTACATGGATCTGCCCTTGAAGACAACTCAGAAACTCTAGCTGGTACTGGAAGCCGCAGCTTGATTGCTATCCAGAGACAGAAGTTATATGTATATTATACCTACTGCATCACTCCATCGGTTACCACCTAGTTTCTGGGTTCAAGGTGCTGCTTATTACTCCCAAAGCTCTTCATGGCCTTGGACCCAGAGATCTGCAGGACTACCTCTCCTGCTCCACTGCAGCAGCTTCACTGATCCTCCTGAAGGTGCCATGCTGAAAATGGGTAAGTCAGCAGCTGCCCGTACCAGAGCATTCTCTGTTGTGCCTCTCA